GTGTTAATTAAGGACTCGATACGGAGCAAGCTGTCAGAGACCCTATAAACCATCAACAAGACGATACGGCGTAAGGTGTCAAGGGCCTTATAAACTTCCCAACAAGAAGATACAACGCAAGGTGTCAAGGACCCTATAAACCACTAACAAGAAGATGCGACATAAGCAGTCAGTGGTCCTACAACTCCCCAGCAACAAGAAGATATAGTGTAAGGTGTCCAGGGCCGTACAAATCCTCAGCAAGAAGACCGGCCAATTGCCGATATACTGAGTGGAGTATCAGCAGCAACAATACTGATGAAGGCTATTGTCGTTCCTATACTCAAACAAGGGAATAGGCAGGAAAGCAGTGAATTATAAGCTCCAGTATCACTGACATGTATATTGTCAGAAGTCCTGTTGAAGATTTTATCTAAGGAATTGGAGATATCCTTCCCTTCTTTAGGTTAAATCTGATTGCTTCCCATTCCCCATGCACTCTATGATCCCCCCTACGGATTCAGCGTTTCCCCTTGAAAATACTATTATTATTATTATTATTATTATTATTATTATTATTATTATTATTATTATTATTATTATTATTATTATTACTGTCTTGCTACTACTACTACTACTACTACTGTTACTAAAACTGCTGCTACTACTACTACTACTACTATGAATGATCTTACTACTATAATTACTACTTACACTTTACTACTACTATTGTTAATAGGTACTACTGTATCACTACTTTACTACAATTGCTACTACAACTACTATTATTATTACTTCTACTACTACTACTATTAATACTACTACTACTACTATTACTACTGTTACTATTAAAACTACCATGATTACTACTTCTACTGTTACTACTATTATTAATACTGCTACTACTACTTATAATAATAATAATAATAATAATAATTAATAATAATAATAATAATAATAATAACAATAATAATGAAGAATGTCAGACGGGGGCTGAGGTAGCGCCTAAGGACAGATTTTCTTATAAAAATGGAACGCGGATTCATCAACGAGAAATCCTGTCTCACGAACCTTCTGAAATTTACGACAGAAACTCAGAGATAAAGCACGAATGATTGGATTGGACTGGGTGAAGTGCATTTGTCTTGGACTCCAGAAAGTTCGTGACATGGGTTACCCCCCTAGAAACCAGACCCCTTTCTCATAGATGAGACCCTCCCCCAGATGTTAGACGTTACCCCCAGAAACTAGACGTTCCCCAGAAACTAAGGAAAGATGTTGGAACGTGTGAGGAAAAAGCTGGTAATATGTGGGGTTATGGTTGTTCAGATACCCAGGAACCATTAGCGTGTTACTGCCCGCACTACCATCTAGCGGGCTGAGGCTAAACTCCAGTTCCTGGGGTCTGATTCGCTTTAATTTCTACTCCTGGTAGTATTAACCTTACCTGGTGTGGGTTGACGTTTGGAGAATCATTTCACCTCCACTCTTCTGATCAGGTAAGGTGATCTACCAGGAGTATTTCTGTTCATGGTTTCTGATTTTCCTGATTACCAGTAATGACACTGAAATACAATACCACCCTTTGTCTTTCTTTAGTGTTATATTTACCTAACTCTTATGTAACCAGCGTTATTGTCTTTATTGTCAGCTCTGCTACTGGCCTGGTCAACCAGGGTAGACTAGTAAATTAGAGCAAGATCCCTGTCTACTGGACGTCTACCTGGACGTAGTGGGACATTACGACTACTCTCCGAAATCTTAATTGTGGTGCTACAACCAGGTGGTGACAGGAATTTCCAGAACATCGGACGAACACCGCCACCCAGGATAACCAACACCATTACTTCTAAAACATAACAGAAGCCCATCCTGGGCATTAGATACTCCTGTCCCGACATCATACTGGAACTACAACGGCCAGTTTTTATTTATATTTAATTTAAAGCCTTAGAAAATTATCTTCATTATTCCTAGAGTCATTTATTTTTCCATTCTTTGTGTTCAGGCGGAAGGCGTTCCCTGACAGAACGAAAGTGTTAGATGGTAAGATCGAAACAGCGCATTTCAGCAGAGAATAAGGTTTAATTGAGAGAACATTTCGCTTTGTGTAGAGCTCTGTTAAGCTCTACAGAGTGAGGATAGTGGTGTCAGTGGCAGGGGGAAGGGACTGTATAACTAGTGGGATCCCTCAAGGATCGGGGTTGGGGCCGCTGTTGTTTCTAACATACGTAAATGACCCGCCAGACAGGACTCAGTCTTGCATATCCCTTGTTCACTGATGATGTTAAACATGTTCCTTGTTCACTGATGATGTTAAACATGTTCCTTGTTCACTGATGATATTGAACATGTCCCTTGTTCACCGATGACGTTGAAAATGTACGTCGTTCACTAATGACTCCGTGAAGTAAAGGGTTTAGATACACAAGTTGAAGAATGAGACACTTAAACATCTGGAAATCTTTACTGAGGAAACATTTCGCCAGCTAGTGGCTTCTCCATTCTAATACCAAGAAGAATTCTGGAAGAAGAGGAAGATTTTGAGGTAATCAGTCCCTGAAGCCTGGAGTCGATGTGTTCAGTCCACTGACTGGCGAACCGTTTCTTCAATAAAGATTCCCACTGACAATGAACTAATAAGAAGGGTAAGATCATGGAAGGACGGGGGGACACACAGACTCCTGGAAGGGGCTGTATTTGACGACCCTGAGGAAGCACTGGATCGCAAACTTACTTAAGGGTTACAAACAAGCAAAATATAGACCCATTTTAAGTAAAAATGAGAAGTAATCTCGCTAGCAGAGTTCAGAATCACGACATTGAAGCTAATAATGCAGACAATAATTCGTCGATTGTCATTATGATGAAGGAAAATTACGTAAAACCGGGTAATAGTTACAGACAAATTGGGATGAGGCACAGATCGTCCTCGTCCAGCAAGATCTTAGACGAGGAATTAGAGACATGTGCAACATCTGGGTATCTTTATTTGTAGACGTTTCGCCATCCAGTGGCTTTGTCAGTACAATACAAGGACATAATATGAAGAATTATATACAAACGATGAGGTAATCAGTCCCTCAGTCTTGGAGTTGGTGAAGATTACCGTAGTCTTAAAAGAACCACGGTCCTCATCAACTCCAAGATTGAGGGATTGATTACCTCAATCTTGTATATAATTCTTCATCTTATGTCCTTGGATTGTATTGATAAAGTCACTGGATGGCGAAACGTCTACAAATAAAGATACCCAGAAGTTGCACATGTATCTCATTCTTTATCTTGTCGGTAATATATACCATTTATGTACAAGATCTTAGACGCCGACGATGTCTGGAAGTCCTCCCTAACTGCCATCACCGACACCACAGAACATAACACTGGAAACTAACAAATTTCAAAAGCATTATCATACGAGATACTGAACCAGGCAAAGCACCGCCTACTTAACAACACAGGAGTCACTTGATCCCATTGTCCACCCGTCCTCAACCCAATATGGCATTCTTCAGGCCACCATGTGTCACTCACCTCACTCAACTTTATGTATGTCTTTGCAGAACAACCACTGTGAAAAAATTTGTGAAATTCCAAGCGCTTTCGTGACTTCTCACACTGATAATGTGATGTGATATCTGTTTACTGTGATCGTATTGCATATACTGGCTTTTTCAATCTCTTCACTTGGAGACCCAACCAATACAGAAGACCAGGGCCAGGATGTCCTGGCGAACCCACCTGAACCTCTGTATGTTAGAAGTTATCAAGGTTCCAGGACCGAAATTTTTCTGATATATATGTCCTTGTGTTTGTTCACGTGTGTTCCTGTGCCAGGGCAGGTAATAAACATCCAGAGAATCCGGATGTTTACATAGAACTCGACAGAAACACTGTAAGAAGGTTTAAGATCCTACCAGATAACGTTTCGCTCAAATATGAGCCATACAGTATTTTGGGATGAATTTAGATACTCGTGCAACACTTGGGTATCTTTACTGTGGAAACATTTCGCCCACCAGTGGCTTCCTCAGCTGGTAGGGTGGAGAGAGAGAGAGAGAGAGAGCGAGAGAAAGAGAGAGGGCACAGATAGGTAAAGGCATGCATGACCCACACGGGTTTAGCACCTCGTAAAAAAAATGTGTGACCACCGGATAGAAAGGGGACGGAGAGCCGGAGCGACCAGGGATCAGGAACCAGGGACCAGGAACCAGGAACCGGGACCAGGTGGGAAGTAAAGACTTAGACGAGGCACAGGAACTTCAGATCGGAGGGGGGGGGAACAGGTGGAAACTAAAAACTCAGATGAGTGTTTGTCTGTCTGTCTGCCTGGCTGCCTGCCTGCCTGTCTGTCTGGCTGGCTGGCTAGCTGGCTGGCTGTCTCCTTGTCTATCTGTCTGCCTTCCTGCCTATCTGTTTGCCTGGCTGTCTGTTTATCTGTCTGCCTGTCTATCTGTGTATCTGCCCGCTTGGCCTCTCTGCTTTGTCTATCCAGTTATGTGTCCATCCCATTCAGGTGTCTGTCCCATGCATATGTTCGCCCCACTTATGTGTCTTTAACTGTCTCAACCATGTATCTGGCTGCTGCCTGTCCATCTATATAATCTTCCTTCGTCATCTTTCATATGTGGTCGAGTGGTGTACAGAGTCACTTGGGGAATTTTGCCAGACTCCCCTGACGTGGTTCCGAATTCTGCTGCCTCATGAATCCAACATGCTCGGGTGGACGGAGACCCGAGCCTACACCACCATGTCGAGGTGAATTGGCCATACGGGTTTGCCGCTTCTGTAGATCCAGTGTAGTACATTCACAAGATCATCTCTCGATGTCGCCACTCAGAACTCTGAGTGGCGACCACATAGCTATTGTGGAGGTCCTCAAAGCTCTGAGTGGCACCTACATTGCTATAGTGGAGGCACTCTAACCTCTGATTGGCATCCACTTAGTGGCACTCTAATACAACTTCAGAGTCACTCAAACAATGAGTGCCACTCACTGCCACCAACAAAGTAATACTTACATCCAGTTGCCTGCGTGGACCAGGGCGACCTGCTGAAGCAGTAGCAGCAGCAGGAGGTGGTGCAGGAGAAAGAGCAGGAAGCTGAAGGAGGAGGAGGAGGAGGAGGAAGAGGAGGTATGGCAGGCAGCGAGGCAGGAGGGTCCTCGCTGCCGCTCCATGGTTCAAAACTTCTTTCTCTCTCCTTGGGGCCTCCAAGGATGAGTTCCTTCCTAGGATGGGAGCTCGGCTGGTTAGGCTCCTCCTTCGCGTCTCTCAGGACACCCCTCCCCCCTCCACTGGAGCCCTGTAAGCACTCACTGGTCACCGCAACTCACTGGGGACTGACAACTGGCAGTCCCCTGGGTGTTTCACTCTGGGTACTGGTCCCGTGGGGAAGGTGCAGCATCCACCACAGGGTCACATCGCTGTACATTTCAGTGATTTCAATTGTGGCTTTAGCCAGGTTTCTAGCATGTTACACCGTCTCGCCCCGCGACCGCGAGCCCCGCCAGCACCTTTCAGCGACCCGGGGGTAAACACTAGACGCTATCGGGGCTTCCAGACCCACGTGACACGCCCCCGACGAAAGAAAATTCAGCGAAGGAACGGAGGAGGCTGGCGCAACAATCCCCCTCTCACCATCTGGCACACTCTGAGCTCCTCACGAGGTGGCGGTCTGCTTTGTCATCTGGCCAGGCCCCGCCCTCCGCGCCCTCCCATTGGTCCGCTAAATCAGACACCCTCGACCTGATTGGCCAGCCGGGATCTCCCGAAGGAAGCGATCTTCCGTGTCCCTTTTTTTCTCTTCAGAATACAAGTTTCCCTCGAATATTCACGGCACGGGCAAGGCCGCGAAGCCATTCTCGGCACTGATACGACTTGATAGAAGAAACTAAGAGGTCCTCAGATAACTGCCGGGAGGGCCACGCTGGCCAGCACGGAGAACAAGAGTAAACACTGAAGATCACACCAGCATCTACCAGAAAGGGCATCATGGCATTCCAGTCAGCCTGGAAGTACTCTTTCTGAGGCCTAATTTTGCCCCTCTCACACGGCCTGCTCTGCTTAGCCTCCCTAGGCCCGTTGCTGGAATTGTCACAGCCTGTGTGTGTCAGGTCAGACCTCACACAAATAACCCGCACATAGGAGAGAGAAGCATACATTAGTGCGACTTTTAAATGGTCCAAGTCGGACCGAAACGTCGTCGTAAGCTACTCCCTCCTTTGTGCGGGTCATTTGTGTATTGTTCCAGTCACGGTATTGTGCCTTTTAGTTCTTCAGGTCAGATCTTGCTTGCCTGGTTCAACCAGGTGCTGGAAAACACCTGGATACACGCACATAAACAAGAGAGCATCACCTGGGTACCTCGAAGGCAAACACATAGATAAGATGGAAACAATTTATCGCAAAATGTAAAAAGTCTAACAGAAATTTGTTTGTTGAGGGAAGGTGTTGAGGGAGGGTGTTTAGGGAGGGTGTTGAGGACGAGTGTTTAGGAAGGGTGTTGAGGTCAAGTGTTTAGGGAGGGTGTTAAGGTCGAGTGTTTAGGGAGGGTGTTAAGGTCGAGTGTTTAGGGAGGGTGTTGAGGTCAAGTGTTTAGGGAGGGAGTTAAGGTCGAGTGTTTAGGGAGGGTGTTAAGGTCGAGTGTTTAGGGAGGGTGTTGAGGTCAGTGTTTAGGGAGGGTGTTGAGGTCGAGTGTTTAGGGAGGGTGTTAAGGTCGAGTGTTTAGGGTGTTGAGATAAGTGTTTAGGGAGGTGATGAGGACGAGTGTTTAGAGAGGGTGTTGAGGTCGAGTATTTAGGGAGGGTGTTGAGGTCGAGTGTTTAGGGATGTTGAGATAATGTTTAGGGAGGGTGTTGAGGACGAGTGTTTAGGGAGGGTGTTGAGGTCGAGTATTTAGGGAGGGTGTTGAGGTCGAGTGTTTAGGGAGGTGTTAAGGTAAAGTGTTTAGGGAGGGTGTTAGGTCGAGTGTTTAGGGTGTTGAGATAAGTGTTTAGGGAGGGTGATGAGTCGAGTGTTTAGGGAGGTGTGAGGTCGAGTGTTTAGGGAGGGTGATGAGATCGTTATTTAGGGAGGGTGTTGAGGTCGAGTGTTTAGGAGGGTTTGAGGTCGATGTTTAGGAGGGTGTTGAGGTCAAGTATTTAGGGAGGTGTTGAGGTCGAGTGTTTAGGGAGGGTGTTGAAGTCGGGTTAATTTCATTTGTATGTTTGTTTATGTTTGGCGTATGTTTTGTATATGGTGTTGAAGATTGTTTGTGCTCGCGTGTAAGTACACGTCTTGGTGTATTTGTTTGCTCTTGTTTGTGCTCTGTTTGGCTACGTATGCGTCTTATGTATGTATGACTGAGTTCTGTAAAGGCATGTGTATGTTTACTCTCTGTATGTATATATATATATATATATACATATATATATATATATATATATTATATATATATATATATATATATATATATATATATATATATATATTGTGGTAAATTAGACACATGTGCAACTCTTGGGTATCTTTATTGAGGAAACGTTTCGCCACACAGTGACTTCATCAGTCCATACATAGGAGAATCTTGAAGAACAGGAGGAGAATGAGGTAATCAGTCCCTCAACCTTGAGTCGATGTGTTCAGTCCATCAATCTTGAATAGAATACGGCATATCAGCGGAGAAGCAGCTTATAAACCGTATGGCAGGAGAGGTGCAGCAGACATAGGTCGTGTCACATTTGTTCATTGAACAAATGTGACACGACCTATGACTGCTGCTAATTTATCAACATGTCGGTTCTCTGAACCATTCATCTACAAATACAAATATATACATTGTATTTATGAGTGTAAGTTTGCAATTACACACATAATTACACATATGTTATGTGTGTAATTGCAATGTGTATGTTATTAGTGTTATGTGATTGTGCATATGTGTATGATTTGTATGTGTGTGTATGTATCTATGTGTTCTACTTTCACATGTATATACATGTGTGTGTATATACATGTGCCCAGAATGCTGCAGGCATTTCCTCTCTGGATCGCAACACTGATATATATATATTATATATATATATATATATATATATATTATATATATATATATATATATATATATATATATATATATATATATATATATATATATATATATATTTAAAGAATTTGAGGATAGCTCAAACTCCTTAGACGAAAAGCCCTGAAAGGCAACAAATATATTTACATAGTTTATACCCTTTCTGGAAGTGTCAAGCCGGTCGATGTAAGTTGAAAGGCGGAGCCAGGAGCTGTAGTTCAACCCCAGCAACGCACAACTAGGAGAGTTGGGCATTCTGCGGTCGTTGGAACGGATTCGCTGGACTATCCACGAATTAATGTTTCTGGTGGTTCGTAGTAAAGAAGGCGAGAGGGACGTGGACAAGAATGTATACTCACTTCGAGCCCATCGATATTGATCACTTCAAGATGCATTCATGCATCTTGAAGTGATGAAGGTCCATGGGATGACATGTTTCCGGTAAAGATGTCCTGTCTGTTTCCTTCACTTTCCTTCTCACTGCATGAAAAGCTCAACTCACAAAGTTATTCGTGGAGCTAAATCTGGGCGATTTGCTTGGAGACTGAATCTAACTCACGAAACGATTCCGACATCGGTCGGCTTGCGAACCGACTCCGGTACCATTGGAGTGGTTAACGAACCCGGCCATCCACACACACAGCCACACTCCCGCGAGCCTCGTAAGAGTTAACCAGCTGTCTCCCCTCTCACATCAACACTTGTCCTCTTAGCGGGTAAATGGTAGTACCCATTAACATGAAGCTACCAGCTGTCTCCCCTCTCACATCAACACTTGTCCTCTTAGCGGGTAAATGGTAGTACCCATTAACATGAAGCTGGGCGGCGCAAAGAGGAACGGTGTAAACAAAACGGATCGTTAGTGTAAAAGTTGGTTGGTTAATAGGGGGATTTAAAGGCTATCTAGGACATGAAAGATGTGACCTCTCAGTGACTACATTCTCTCTTCTACCACCCTGCACCTCTCCTTCCGACAGTATATAAGTCTCCACACTGTCGCTTGCCTCTTCAGACTGTTTCAGACTATGGAGCAGAACTCTTCTCCAGGCTGAGAGATTGACAACCTCAAATCTACGACTTTAAGGGTGATGGACTGATTACATCGTCTTCATATCTCTACTGCTCCTGCCTACTTTCTGTACTCGACTGAAGAAGCCTACTGTGTAGGGGAAACATTTCGGAATAAAGTTGCCTAACTGTTTCCCATATGTCTGACCTACCATCCTGTCGGTATTGTATACCATCTTGATATTCACTTGAGAAAAAAGTCAAGAGTATGTCACGTTTCGCTCTGAGTAGAGCGGAAAATGACTTGTTGTGGAAAAAGACAAATATTACTCACGAAATCGTAATGACACGATTGTAAACAAACCATACCACGGGTGGGGTTTGAACCCAGACCGTCGCGTTAGCCACCGGGCAAGCTAGCTTCAATAAGATTCATTCAACTAGGTATACTTCCACACAATTATGTACAGTTCAGGACATTTATTATGGGATACTTTTCACCACGAATAGCTTCTTCAGTCCTAATACAGAAATTAAGGAACGTGACTTGAAAACTCTCTCTTTTGAGCTCTTTCTAACAGTTTTCCCGAGTCATATTTCACGGTGGGTACAGAGCAGCGTGACTTGAAAAGCTCTACTCAGAGTAAAAGATGACTTTTAAAAAGCTCTAGATAAATATACTAGAAAAAGCTCTGCTTGGATCAAAACATAAACTGGAAGAGCTCTATTTCGAGCGAAACGCTGTAATAACAAATCAATTTCCGAATACACGTGTCTCCAAGTCTTTGTCAACACACCGCTTGACGCCTGCTTAAATCCTCTTGCCTCTCTGCTTGTACACTGCTTGTCTTCCCAGCAGAAGCCGTGTCCTAAGCTGTCTGGCAGTCGCCCTGTCTCTAGTAACTTGGAAGATCCTCGTCTTGCATCGTTAGTGTCTCTTCCACCTTCTCGGAGTGCCCAGGGAGATGTGTTGTCAGGTTCCACGACCCGTGTCGTGTTCTGTGACTGCTGGTGTGTCTTCGGGAGAACTGTGTGGTGTGTTAGGTTGGTGGTGTGTGTTGCAGAGTGCTATAACGCTACACTCACACACACACACACACGCACACACACTCACACACACACACACACACACACACAACACACACACACACACACACACACACACACACACAACGCTGATAGACCTCAAAACATTGATGTGAGAGAGAGATGTACATCTTGGCCTATGTAATGCAGCTTGTTGTTGTTATTGTTATTGTTGTTGTTGATCTTCTTCTTCTTCGTCTTCTTCTTCTTTATTTTTTCTTCATTTTCTTCTTTTTTATTCCATCTTTTGCTCTCTTTTTGCTTCTTTTAAATCCTGTCTTCTTGCTCGAGTGCAGTGATTTTTTTTTCTCGCCTGTGAGGCTCAGGTGACCTCCTGACCTCCAGACTGTGACCTTGTGACCTTCCCCTACCCCACCCCTCCCTCCTTTCCCCCTTATCTCCCTCCCTCCTCCCTCCCATTTTCTTCTCCATCATTTTAGAAGTTAAAATATATAATGATAATTTTGTTAAATTGTTTGGGGCGTAAAATGCAAAGCTGCATATTATGTTAGTTGGTGAAATATATTATGTTAGTTGGTGAAATATATTATGTTAGTTGGTGAAATATATTATGTTAGTTGGTGAAATATATTATGTTAGTTGGTGAAATATATT